TATTGACATCATGACGATAAATCTAATATTTTGATATCATACTGTTTACTTTTTCAATTTGTGACTGATAATTTTATGTTTTTTCTTTCTTGAAATCAATTAATACTCGCGTCAGTAATCACACAATATAAATAGGGTGTTTATAGTTAAATTTGTGCTTCAGAGATGGCAGTAATTAATAAACAGCAATCACACCTCATAGTCATTACCTTTAGTGGAATAGAAAAATTAAAGTGACAGTGAATCAAAGTATTTCACCGATACTGGGCACTGTGACACAATCTTGATTCATAGACTCCGGTTGTCAGGATATTCAACAAGATTTCTAAACTGATTCATTGCAAATCAGCTGCATAAAACATGTAAGAGGGCAGTTTCGTCTTCAGTTACACTCTTTCGACGTGACTGTTTTTTTTTATTTAAGATTTACGCGTAATATTGTATGTATCAGGGTAAAACCTAAAGAAATCTAAATGAAAATAGTGTTGTTCACTTACACGTTTTCTTAAAAATTTTTCTATGAGAGTCTGTAATCTTTTCCGTAGACTGAGCTCCAAAAATTGTTTTTGGTAATGTCCACTACACAGGAGCTGGTTTCTAAACTGTATCCATCAGTTTTGGTGTAGCTAACTACTCATTTGTCTGTGAATTCCTTATTATATGACATAGGTGTGAGTTAGCAGTAATTACTTAAAGAAATTACAAAGGATAGATTGGTTTGGAACTTCTGCATGCTTACATTAACCTTTTCAGCAGTTTACTTTCACTAAAAATCCATATGTTATTACTGCACCCAGACATCAAATACCGTACGAGAATACAAAATCTTTCATTTCAACAACTATAGTAAAATCAACACGAAACAAATGACTCTATAGAACGCGCCCACATTATAACTGCTAATACTTAAAACGTAAATATTGAGATACTCTTTTTCTATAGAAAGTAACCTAATGTCAAAACTGAAGATATTTTCGTCATGGTTGGATATATACTGATGCGAATTCTCAAATTAGAAAGAAACAACTATCAACTTCTGCCTGGTTTTCATTGATTGTACGACTTTCTTCAACTATAAACCCAAAGGAATTGTAGTGAATGTTATCCTAGGATCAGTTATTATATGTAAAAACTTTCTAATTGCGCAAATATTCATTACATTTAAGGAGCTAACTGCAGTTCTCTCTGGTTGAACTGTTTTGTTTCTGTGAAATGGAATCTCCATGTGGGGTGTTTTGTATACTTTTGCGGTTAAACCTTCAATTTACACTGTCTGATTTCTCATTTCTAGTTGATTTTCAACCTTTCAACTTACTGATAGAGCATTCTACTGCATTCCTTTTCTCTTCTTTCCTTTATCTTCACTATAAATTATTATGCGGAATACAAAAGTGTTACAATGTCGCCTTGAAGTAGCCTCCGTCATTATATTAGACATTGATGTTCCGAGTAGCATTCTTTGTATAAATTCATACATGCCTTGTAAAAATAAAAATCAGAATTGTCTTTCTTGAAAATTAAAGTTTTATTTTTATTATCAGCTGTTACAAAACAATTCAAACAAAGGCTTATTCAACAGCATGAAAATTTAAATACTAATAAGTGAAATTTATTATCCAGATAGTTTTGTGAGTGCAAGTATAACTAATTTTCAAGGTATGGCAACTGTATATTGGTAAAATATTCTTGATAAAAAGAACAAATAAGTGTAGGGTATTCTAAGCGCAACAAAATGTCACGGTCACCCACAAAATATACAATAAAAAAATGGAAACTGATTCTGTTGATAAAGCAACCAAATAATTAAAGTCTTCTCACACGCTAAATGCAAACCCAGAAGATTGAATATAGTAACTGGGAAGTGACTAATACAAGTGCAAAACAGAGAATAAAGCTAAATAAGAAAAACAACTTATAGATGTTAGAAAAAGTGTTAATTCTGCAAAAACCAATCGGTGGGTAATTGACATCTATTACAAATACTTTATAGGGATTAAAGATTGACACAACAGAAACAGACCTACATAACACGTACAATACGCATACTTTTTTCATCTAGTTTAGAGACTGACTCAAAATTTTCAATCTAGGGTGTCTTCTGAGTCTATTTTAGTTGCTTTTGAGACTGATTATTTTGACGAGTACCTCATCGACTGATTGTGAAACATTGTTTTCCATATTTATCGATGTATTTAACAATTATGTTTCAAATGATGATCCTCTGACGATCTCTTCTTGAACTGCCAAGTAGCAATGTTGTTATGTGCCTATTATTTATTTATTATGATTTATTTATATTTTTTATTTTATTCCTTTATATTCCAAGTGGAACATAAGGTTTTAGACTAGAGTTTTGAAGCTTCGATAGTGGGTGAGGTTGCTAGCCTCAAACATTCTTTACAGGCTTAGAGAGGTTTAGGAGACCGTCGGCCGGGGATAGAACCCCGAACCATATGCGTGGTTGGTGAGCGTACTACCACTCAACCACTGATACACAGCATACTTCTAATAAAATAATCATATCTACTGCAATCTGTTTCTTTTTATTGCTACAGCGTGTTGATATTTTTTTGCAATATAGCTTCTTCAGTCTTGATTGACTCGTACTCTATTGTACATATTGATCGTAACGTAGACGGAATGATTGGGAACACTAACAACTTTCCCCTGAGATTAACTGAGACAGGATCCACTGGCATACCTGTCACTTTGTTAAGAGGTATGACTAATCAAGACTACTGAGCAGACAGCTCACAAAAAGATGGTAGGCTTAAAAATTGTGGAGATGCATAAGTCACATTGCTCGAATACAAATTTTCGCCCCTAAATCTAATCTTGCGATGGCGTACAAATAAAAATTCTTCAAAACTCGGAAGCTGTGGTTATCCAAATATTGAATTCTTAACTTCGCGTTCAGAATTTTGTTCAATTACGGAAAATACAATGGATTTAATTTTTTTCAGAGTCTGACGAGTTATTTCTTTTGAGCTTTATTGTTTCTTGAAGTAATTTGATGGAGAGTGACTAGCAGAGGAATCCAGGGTGCACACTTCGTCCTATTTGTGGTTCGTCATCTGGATATACCGGCGTTCCCCAGTGAGTGATGAGGTTTCCACTGAAACTCGAACCCATTAACCATCTCTTCAAAAGCGACAGAGTGACCTGCTAAGCCATTCGGGTTCTAGCCTCACTGGGAAAACTATCACCTATTGGGCAATGATGATGAAATCCTGAAATTCATTGAAGTTGAATCACCATACATCATTGAAGCATCCTTACTAGGAGCCGACATGCTAACAGAAGCGGCATATTTCGATCCAATCAGTCAACGGGAAATTCTAAAGTGAATTAGACTTCTTGTCTTCCCTTTTCCGCTGTTACAATTCTACGGTATTGTGACACCGATCTTAAAATGACCTTTTTTAGTTGAATCCAGCCCTATGAATGATCTCGTTTCATCCAATTTACTTCAATCAGTTTTTGCTTGAAATTCCTGCATTACATAATTTAAAATCTCTTTAGTGTTATCCAAAACTCAAAATTTTATGGCACTTCTTTGGAGACATTCGTTTTGTTAATATTACATATAGATAGTCTGGAAATGACAATGCTAATAGGGGTAACTAATCTTATCGGCTATCTATATGTCACCTTTGGTCTTTCACGTCCCTAAAATTATTTCAAGACTACAAATGAATATCCCTGACCAAAAAATTTAGGCAAAACTAGTGAAGTGTAATAAATGTCAAACCGAATACTGATAGAATAAATATTTTGATCTCATGGTTGTCTGAGCCACATATTAGTCCTCTCATCCCCCGATAGTTAATAAATACAGATTCATTTCGAACAGTTATACAAAAACATTTATCTTTTAAAAAAATTTGAGGTTGTCAAATAGTGAGTTTCAGCAGTACTACAACCGTTAACACCATGGTTTCAATTCAAATGAACTGGTAACCTTTTAAGGGACTTTCTTGAAGAATTATTATTCCATAGTATGGAAAATATACACTCGAAATGCAGTCATCTAGGAGGACTTCTTTGAAAACCAGTGCAACGCTTTGCACCTCACCTTGAATGATCATAATTACTAATTAGTCCATCCTGAGTAACATACAAAAGTTAGTATGACAATCAATGAGAGACTGGATTATTTTCAATGATACTTGCAGTTAACTTTTCTACATACCAACTTGTTTTGCCGACAGCTTATTCAGCATATTCAGGCGCCGGTCTATACAGATTCAAGCGATTTCAAGATGAATTACATCAAGAACTGACGTTGTTTCACTTCATACGCTGAAGTTTTGAGTTCAATCCTTGTTGGGATTATTGGTGAGCATTACTAAAGAATCCAAAAGTAGGACGAAACAACCATCCAGTACACCATGGATCTTAGTAGTTCTCCGACTAATGTGGATTGATAACAAAAGCCACTTCATTAAAATCATAAAAATTTAAACCTAAAGTCATACCTACAGATGGATTCAGAGTGAGACTGTCAGTGCAACTGAATTTCTGATAAGCCAATTGGAAAACTTCTGTTAAAACAGGCATTCAGATTTTACTTTCGAAATTCCAACCAATCTAATCGATCTACTAATCTGGTGTGTTTTGCTTTCTGGTAGAAACAAAGTAAATTAGAAATCTGAAATAACTGACAGACGCCATTAAGTTTCAGTCAGTAATCACGAAAACCCTAAAGTAAAAACATGGAATCTACATTTTAAATATAGTAAGATTTTACATGTTTCTAAATCTTTAGTAGCAGAGTGAGAATTTATGACAGATCAGATTATTGCTATAGGTTTATAACCTACTACTGCTTATAAAAAACACTCCGACACTATTCAACGACATTCATGACATTAAACATAATAGATACTTTTGAGTATTTCAAGGCAGTCAGTTAGATGTTAGTGTTTCTAACATTCTGGCGTCCAACAATCGTTGTGTTTCTTGACCTAAAGGTGACATTCGATTTTGTCCACCGAAAGGTACTCTGGCGATGCTTGACTGTAAAGGGAATGTCGACAAAATACATTACACTGATCAAGGAACTCTACTTGAACTCATGCAGCCAGGTGAGGGCTTACGGAGAGTTGTTATGTGAAGTGTATTTTTTTAAATTAATTTTATTTTTGATTACAGCTTGATTCCACACTGTATTTTTGGTACGTGTATGGAATTTTCAGCGTGGATATCGGTAGCCCAAAATTCGCAGGCCGACCATAGATATCATGTGTGCGTCGGCGTGGGCTCGAACCCCGGACCATGTGCAAGGTCGACGAGAGTCCTAACCACTGTGCCACCGACAACTAGTGGTGTCGGACAGGGATGCCAGCTCACTATCCCTATTTCTATTCAATTTTATCATAGATGTACTAATGGAATTAACCCTAACTGATTTCAGCGACTCAGGGATTGTCTTGCTACCAGGGTGTAATAATCTCTTTGACTTAAATTATGGATATGATATAGTCCTTCTAGGTGAGGATGTTGACAAAATGCAGTCTTCTGAACACCTTGATTTGCAATCTACGAATGTTTGATATGCGATTTGCTCCCGCCAAATGTTAGATGATGCTGCAGGACTAGACTACACTGACTCCTAGCTTAGAAATAGGGGTGGAGTGGTTGGTGGAGCACGTTGACCGCTTCACTTATTTAGGAAGTACCATCAGCCAACGCCAGCGGGTTGATCGCTGAGGAAGTCTCCGCACGGATACAGAAGGCTCGTTTCGCATATGCCAGTTTACGCCGTCTGTAGCGTAGACGTGTTATCCGGCTCGGTATCGACCAAATGGCGTGTGTACTGCTCAGCAGTCCTCTCCATCCTCCTTTATGGCTGTGAGACCTAGCCATTGAGAATGGAAGATATTTTTTTTTTTTTTATTTACAGCTTGATTCCACACTGTATTTTTGGTACAAGTATGGAATTTTCAGCATGGATATCGGTGGCCCAAATTTTGCAGACCGACCATAGATATCAAGTGTGCGCCGGCGTGGGCTCGAACTCCGGACCATGTGCATGGTCGGCGAGAGTCCTAACCACTGTGCCACCGACGCACCCACGATATGAAAAGCCTGACTATCTGTCTTTGATCATAGGTGCCTGTGCTCTATCTCCCGTGTGAAGTGGTATAATATAGTGAGTAATATTGAGATTAGGCATCGGTTGAGTGCTAGGTAAGGAGGGGAAATCAATCGACGACTCTGTGAAGCTACATCGAATGAGATGGTTACGACATGTGTTACGTATGCCTAGTCATCGCCTTCCTCGACAGGCAATGTTAGCTGATATAGGATCAGCCTGGAAAAGAGCTAGAGGCGGTCAAAACAAAACATGGCTTCATTAGTCAAGGAAGTCCACAACAATTAGTTTAAGCTACGTGGGGGGGGTGTAGACTTCCTGGTTGGGATCCTCTGTATGGAGACAATTGGTGATATGGCTCAAAATCTTTCTCGATGGGGCATAGGCATCCACTCCATGTGATTTATAATACCCAATAAAATTATATTGCTCTTCGATATTGTTATTCTTTTTGCCTCATATCTCTGTCTACCATCCCTATTTTTCGCTTCTTTTTACTTTCTTCTCTTTTTTGTGTGCCAAGTGAAGTGTGGCGACTTGAACTGCTGCACATCAGTGTAAAGTTCTATATTGAAACCAGTCAGTCAGTTTCTAACGTTACTTCAACAAATGTTACAAAGACATTCAGTTTTATAAGTTATTTCTGCTCCTTTAAACATCAATTCATATTAAACTGTTTTTGGGAATCTGCTGGGTATTGATGCATCGAATTAGACAACAAACTGCTGTGCTCTCTAATTTGTCATTTTTAAATGTAAACTATGTAACCAAAAGTGTGGAACAGTCAAAACAGGCATATCGATTAATGAAATTTCAACCTTAGTTTTTCCAGGTAAATTATCATGTCATGCAATGGTATCATTTTTATACATGTTTGTTCATCTTTCTAGATTATCTTGCTAAAAACGATTAACTCCTTTATTTTATCTACTTTCTTTTAATTGGTATGACAAGATACAAAAGAAAAGTGATGATATGGACACAATGCGGGTGTACATCAAAGCCACACAAAATGGAAGCGAGGAGTAGAAGAATTCCTTGTAGACAGACTAGGTGTTTGTTTGGATACAGCCATTATCTAAATTCTTCTTGAAATTCACTTACTGTCCTTTTATTGTCTGTTCAGCAAGTAAGACTGGAAGCTATTGGAAAATGTGCACAATTCACTGACTTTTTGGATCACTGTTTAAGAAAATCAATTTTAACACATACTTATGACAGTGCATAAAGACCTGTAATCACTACATTCTTTCGCCTACCCTTATATATATATATATATAGTTGAATTTTTTCAAATGAACTTTCCTGGTTATCATTTCTATTAATTGTAACGATTTAATTTCTGTTTCGTATAATCAAAGAAGAAGCAACCTTAAAAACGTACTAATTGGAAAAAGCTGCAAGAGGAAACAACATCCTATTTGTTTAAATTTAAGTTGCAGTTAAACTAAGTAAAATACTGGTTGAATTTCTCGATAGACAAGAGAAAAAATTATGAGTCCACCGCCACACGTATTGCAAGCCAACAGTCGTTGTGTTTCTTGATGTTCTCTAGAACTGTCTGTTAGAGACGGGTGTACCTGAGAAGTTTGTGAACATCCTGAAAGCTCAATATAGAAACACCTCAGGTAGAGTGAGGGCATACAACCAACTATCATCACTGTTCCCAACCAACAGTGGGTTTAGACAGGGTTGTCCAATCTCTCCATTTCTCTTTAACTTTTCCATCGATGACACTCTGGAGTCACCTGTGAAGGACGTGCATGAAGGTGGTGTAGATCTGCTACCTGGAGATAGACTTTTCGACCTCGTATATGCAGACGATATCGTCTTACTGTGAGACAGCATGCAGGCTACCCAAATTGCACTTAATCAGTTGGTGATCAGTGTGTGTAAGTATGGTATGTGCTTTGCGCCGTCTAAGTGCAAAGTACTGTTACAAGATTGTCAGGAGCCTGCACATACACTCACTCTTCCCGGTGAACCGCTTGAAGTTGTTGATAAGTTTGTGTATATGGGTAGTTGTAAGAGTGCTGGTGGAGGTGTGATGGATGTAATTTCCAACCGTTTCATGAAGGCTAGGATGGCATACAATAATTTGAACCACCTCTGGCGCCGTTGCAACGTTAGCCTGACCCTCAAACGTCGGGTATACAATGCTTCGGTGCGGGCTGCGCTACTCTACCCCTGTGAAACCTGGCCTCTCCGAGCTGAAGATGTTCGGCGGCTCTGCGCATTCGATCGTCACCGTCTCCGCAGGATTGCTTACGTTCGATGTTATCATCGCGTGAATAGTTCTGTGGTTCGGTCTCGTGTGTTTGGATACAGTGGAGATCACTATTCATTAAGTGTCGTCATCTGGAAACACCGGCTTCGGTGGCATGGACATATGCTGCAAATATCATCCCAGAGGCTTCTGCACAGGTGTCTGTTCGCTAGTGAAAAATACGGATAGATGGTCAGCCTATGACATGGCTCCGTGGGATGAAGGATATTTGTGCTAGGTTACCATCGGTTGGTGCGTCACGAATCCGTAGTTGAAGTTCGAGAGATAGCTCGAAACGTTATCGGATATGGCCAAGAATCGTAATCAATGGCGAATGTGTTGCAATTTCCTTCTTTCTTTCCTTCCCGACGATAGTTGATGAAGGCTGTTTGACCTTGTTAAGTATGACTGTTTTCCTTCCAGATGAAGTTCCTTATCCGTTCTCTACTTATATTTATATATTTTATATTTTTTTCTTACTTTTAATCTATGTTGCTTGATTATTATTGTGTGGCGCATCTTCTTGGTGCAGCATTGTACCAAGTTTTTTGTGTTTAAATAAATAAATAAATGGAAACTTTTAAGCGCGGACCCTCTAATATCCGCATACTTTTGTCTTCATCTTCATTGTCTACAGTAAATCCAACATATTATTCACATCAGCTGAATTGTTTAGCTATGTTGCATGCTGGTAAACAAGGGCTCATATTTACGGAGAATCATTTTGGTGTCCTCAGAAAAATATTTTAGGAAAGTACTTTTAATTCAGTTCATTAACACCACTTTAAATGAAAATAATACTTATCATGCTGTCGCAATAGCTACGTCCTATATTCTAAGTTTATCGTCGTATTCAAAAAGGAAATTTCACCTAGTGAATCTGAAGGATTTCCTATGAAGAATAGCATACTGCTGGTTCAGTAAATACTAAAACTGGTCCAACTACGAGAAGTAGTCAAATAAATACGTTTACAAAGTTTTTGTTCTGATTTTCAGGAGTGAAAAAGCAGTAGAGCTTGTCGCGCTGGTGCTGACTTCGAGTCACATTTGTTTTTATCTCAAACCACTGTACTATATGACCTGTGGAATTTCAACCATTATGACTACAGTAAATGACACTGTTTCACTGTGAAATATATCGAATAAACAAATTATTGTGGAATTAAAGTCTTCATATACTATATTATCAGGTTGCTTTTAATAAAAATTTCTAATACAGTCATTTAGGAAGTTACTAATGCATAATCATAACTTGGCGTGATGGCGAGCTACCCAGAATGGTGGCCACATTACAACTTGACTGACAGAATTCAGTCCGCACCAAAGAAACGACTAGACACATTACACTAGTTACTAGTGTCCAGTCAAAATACCCACTGCAGTCCTACAGGAGGTCAATCGCGAGCCCGAATAGCTCAGTGGTAACGTCTCTGACTGCAGTATTCACTGGGTGACGCGGGTTCGAATCTCAGGAGGAGGGACATGACTTCTTTCAAGGTTGCAGATACGCCTAGCTGACTTGTGAGTGCCAACTAGCACGAAACCTAGGTCAAGGCTTCCTGTCAATTGCCTCCAACCATCTAATATCATAATCATAACTGAATCTAGACTCGTAAGATCAATGTAACATGGTTTGGAAATGCGGCAGAAATGCGTTAATTCGCCTATCAATTCCGTTTATTATCCGGCTCTTTAAAACACCCAGGGTAGAAGCCCCGGGAAACCTGATTTTACACATTTAGAGCGATATGTCAGAAACAGAATTACGTTTGGAACAGTTCTTTTACTCTGATTATTAGTTATGGATAACAGTATCTGAATCGCCAATTGGTGATTGATCACATTTCACCAGGTCATTGTAGCTAATAAACAATCATGATTATGATTAAAACTACTTCTTGTTCGTTCTTTGATTTCAACTAAATTTCTCCATACACTAGCCTCTTGTACTGTTGATATTTATCAGCCCTACTTATAAACATTTTCTGAAAGTACGGCCACTCATTTGCAACTTAAAAACAGTTTCAGCCCTTAAAACTCTCAAGGAAATAGCATGCAAAACTGGCTTATTTTATCTGCAAACAATCGATCAGTTATTAAAACCAATAAAAATAAGAACAAAGCGTCTATGGGTGAAAATATTTTTGCATGGTGGATAGAAAAAATTTTCAAGCCATCTGAAGGTCATCTATTCCTATTGGTTGTAACTTACGAAAGGGTTGTGACTCATGATTTTCTTTTTATACAGAACCATAATGTGAAACGATAAACTTAGTAAAAGAAAATATCTGACGCATGGCATGCAGTTTACCATAGCATTAAAAACGATATTCTTTGTAGGGATAGATTTTAGTGAGAGTTACAGTGGAACAATGGTAGTACAGCGGCCTGAGATAATACAAAATTATGTTTGCCACATAGGGAAGGAAATAAAGTGCTGACATTTTTCTATCATTTACTTCACTAACTAATCTATCTGAAATAGTTTCAGTAAACAGATACTGTTCGGGTAACTCTAAACTATAACGACCTAAGCGAATGACTGTCAAAATGGCCTTGGCAAGCCAACCAGACGAGTCAAAAGTCGAAACGCGTGATTTTAAATTTTAAAAATTAGAAATCTAATGTTGATATAGTTATAGAAGGTAGCGTTCTGTATGTGTTCTAAGAATACCTCCAGTTTCCTTCCTATGAGCCTACTATCCAGATAGAACTAAAATACTACATCTCGACGGAATCTGCGACTTAATTAGTGTACTGTGTTCATACTACCGCGTATTTACTATGGGCTCATTTGACTAGTTGATTAAGGTCATTATTACATCCGTTCACTTGGATGGCTATACTGCAGAGTTACCGAATTTTCTTGTCCCAATTTAAAGGCAGTAGTAGAAAAATGGGAGGTAGTTCTACTTCCAGGTAAATTATACAATGTAAACCTGTTGGTTAAAAATGGATCAGTTCGTTGGTTTGATTCTTCCTGCTACTCAAGCCTCCTTCCAACTGCACCCATCATTCTGGTATAGCAAACAAGTGACCAACATAAAGAATAGCGACAATGGATAGCGAGTGCGCCAGTGACCTTGAACGCATAACATTCGTTGGATTACAGAACCTGCTGTTATTACATCACCAGTATGAATGCTATGCACAAAGTGAGGTGCAATTTTTATCCTGACCTGGCTCTTAAGTGCTGTTCGGATAGTGGTTTGATAGCACAATAAGGTTATGATGAGGGTTAAAGCTGTGTCTAAGATTAGGTTTAGGGCGTTTTACTATTATCTGTATTTTTCTCATAAATAAATAAATGGGATGAGAAGGACTCGTTGCTCGTATAGTTGAAACCGTTTTGATAAAGTAGAAACTTGAAAAAACTGATACGCCTCATTGTATTTGGAAAGTATTTTCGAGTTACATCAGGACAAAGGACAGTTTTTAACGAGTTTCATTGTTATTATCCGTATTTTTCTTCTAAACAAGCAGAGTATTCATTCGACAAAACATGACTTTTTCTCATTGGCTGACTCAAGGTCACTTGTGCGTTCGCTCTCCATGGTCGCTACTCTTTATATAGCCGTAAACCAGTTATTTTTCTCATATAGCTGCTGCAATCCCTAGAACTCTACATAACAGAAAAAATGAAGACTGGTTTGGTGACAAATTCAGTCGCTTTAAATTCATGTAACAAAAATATTTCTCAAAATAATGTGAATATTTGCTGTTTCTAAAACCACACAGTTGGAATTTAACTTTGATGGACTGTAGGTTTGCGGCGTGCTGGTTGAGCATTAATCAAATTCACTGGGATTATTCCGTCCTAGTTCTTGTTCATCTACATTCTTTTGTACTCACAGAAAACTTGCTGTGGTGCCTATTGAAGGGTTTAATTAGTTTGCAGTGTTTCCTGAAAGAACGTGTAAACTGAACCATCTGCAGATTTGATTGAATAAATAACTACTTAATCTTGCTTCTGATTTCAAATTCAGAACTTATTTAACTTACGAATAGCTTTTGTTCGCCGTAGGATCATTTTGAATTTGAATGTTATGAGACATATGGCTACCCACGAGGGTGAAATATCTTTTTATTTCCTCCTTACTTTCCATAATATCTCTGTTTATGCTGATTTGGGATAAAAGTACTTTCTGCGTAAACAAATTATCTCCCCTATAAACAAACTAAATAACTTCACTAAAATATTACTATAAGCTGAATTTATTTAGAAAAACAGCTTTCTGACTCTTAGCAGCGTAGTTACCATACTATACCCTAAATACTGTACCTTATAAGACTAGATCAGTATCTGCAATCATGACCACATAACCCTGGCTGGAGTTTTCATTGGCTAAACTGAAAAGCTACTTTTATTGCTTTTGTTTTAGGTCTTTAGATGTGTATATAATCTATTTATCAGG